AAGAGAGCAAAGTTCCAGTATGTCCACATCAGTCATTAACTAAACATCAGAGGACCTACAGCTCAACCTTGAGGTTCACCAACAATGTTATTGTTGTACTGCTAATATGTATTCATTTTCTGTCTTTAAGACATGATTTTATCCACCTGATTACACGAGATGAAAACAGTAAACTTCAATAATTTGGTAGGATTAGCTGTATGAGAAGCTCGACTACACATCTACGATCCTACTTAACGTCCACATTTTGGTCAAAGAAAAAGACCAAAACTGCAAAGGATACAATAATCTGTTTTGTGTCCCCATAAGAAAGGCTCTGTGATATGTCTCACTCCCCACAACATGAGCAATATCTGAAGACACACACACTGAGCCCAACAACCCGCTGCCTGCTCCCAGCTGGAAATATGGTAAAGAGCCAGAAAGCTGCAGCTTTTCACGACGCCCACTTACAACCTGCTGACTGGAAACAGCCCGGAGGACTGTGCGTCTGCACTACGCCTGAGAGCACGCGTCCTTGTGGATACTTACTTAAAATGATGTGCGTGATGACGAAGGCGAAGATGAAGATGGTGAGGAAGGAGAGCGAGAGGATGAACATGTAGAAGAAGCGGTAGTTCCTCCTCCCCACGCAGTTCCCCACCCAGGGACAGTGGTGGTCGAAGCGCTCTGTGTGGAGAGGGAGAGACGCACAAGTTTATTCCGGTTTCAAGGACAAGCGCACCTAACGTGGCGATCCTCCAACGCTTCGGTAAAACTGGCTGAGACATCACGTTTCTCATAAAGCACAGATGTTCACAAACAGAACCAGGTCACTTCAGTGCAGATAAACAGCACAAATCCTGAACTGTGGGAAACTGGGGGAAAGGGGAAGTGTCCCTCTGGGTCTTGGCATAATAATATAAAACATTTTCACAAAGGACAACCTTCCTATTTATATAACAAGCTAATAGAGAAATGATGTGTTTCTTACATGACTGAGTAAAACTCTCCCTGCCACAGTGGGACGAGGTTAAAGCCAAGAATGTTTGAAATCGACTGCTTGAATAAAACTGCCGGTAATTTTTGATAAACTGCTCTGTAATTCTTGATGTAGTTTGAAACCTTCAGCTGCTTGTGAAATCCTTACCATTAAAAGTCAGCCGGTGACATTTTATTCAGCCAAACTGAAAGCAGCTCCAGGGCACCAATCATGTCACTGATTGCTGTTAGAGCTGTTACTTCATCAGTCTCACTCCACAGTCCCATGTCTGAGTGTGGAACACTAGCTGTGCACAGTGGTAGCCCCTTAACTAATTAATCAGAGCCATTATTGGTTTAGTGAGATGACATGACCTCGATTTGTCTCCATGAATCAACGCCTGGTTAAACCAGTGCCTCCCTTTAGACAAACACTGTAAACACTAACAGTAAAAGCTGCCGATCACAAAGTCTGCCCCGATCGTTACCGTTAGGTGACAGATGATTGTGGAAGAAGGAAAAACATGTTTTATATGTTAATTGTGGGCTCTTTGGCTCAAGGGATACCACAGGGTCGCGACACTGCTTTTTCAAGAGTGTTTTCAGATCTAAATAACATAAAAACAAAAGTTAAAATCCATCCTCGATACACGACTTGACTCTCTTTATCATCTTTGAATATCAAATTTAGAACTTAAAAATTCAAAGAATCTGCAGAAATGCAGATCCCAGCGCACGGAACAATATTCTGCAGCGATTAAAGGATGAAGTGTAAAATAGACCCGTTTCATCTTGTTACCTTTACACTTTATGGATCAGGTGGAGACTACGGCTAACACAAGATGAGACGGCAGTGATATTAACCTATAACGAAAACTAGAGATGGACCGATCCGATATTACGTATCGGTCCAATACTGACCTAAATTACTGGATCGGATATCGGAGAAAAATAAAAATATTTAATCCGATTCATTAAATATCACAAAAGCACCTCACAAAACTTGCGACATGGCATAACTCAGCTCATAACCTTAGCACGTCGGAGCAGTGTGCTCATGTGATAGAGCGGCTGTGGCGTGCGAGACCTGTCAGCGGTCTGGTTGAGCATTTGTAGCCTCGCTACCAAATCATTTCATCTCCAAGAAAGTGATCCCAGAGAGAAGTAAAGCAAGTGTGTAAGTCCATCTCTGAATGTTTGTAAAGCATTCCCACATTAAGCTTAACAACTGATATATGGAGCGACTACCTCGCCCTCCCTCTCCTGCTGCTACTTCAATCGTGAAACTGCTTAATGATCAGCTGATCGGCTTTTCTGTCGTGACTCCATCTCTCTTCTTTGTTTTTGGCCCACTTCGCGCCAGAAAGAGGAAACCAGCGGCTGAACAACAGCAGCACTATTAACCTTGATAAGCTGTTGTAAGAATAGGGATGGGTACCGGTGTCCGGTGCCTGACATAAACGGTAGTAACCAGACCGAAAAGCAGCGCACATTTCGGTGCTTTATTTTGGTGCTTTTTTTTCCTGAGCTGTGATACACTTCTAGCCAATCATTTTACGTTTCCGAGGATAGTAGGCGGGCCCAGGTACGTACGTTCTTTTAGAGCAGAGCTACAGATTAAAAATGCCCAAGGCAAAGCGGCCAAAGTCTGGCTGTACTTCAGAGCAAAATATGCAAACTCAGCAGCAACAAGTGCTTTAAGCTGATACTGTGATACTGTCAAAGGAGGTAACACCTCGAATCCGATGAAACACCTGGCGACGCATAGCGGGGTTTTTTTAAAGCCAAGAAATGCGGCGTATTTGATAGCTTGCTGCGAGACCTCACACCGAGCGCATCTACTGCGGGTGGGTTGCCAGTTATCGGACCTGGAGCAACATCCCCCAAAACCACGAAGAGGAGAGTCCTGGCCCCTAGCCCTGCCAGTGTAGCAGAAATGATAAGGATGATGATGCAGCAGCAGCTGTTCTTCTCTGGGTCAGTAGCTTAATGTTGTTCGTGTGTAATTTACGTTGAGTAGGCTAACCACGTTATCACATTAATGCAGGTAAGGTGAACTAGCAAACATCATCATAGTTACATGTGGCTGTCCTCTTGTTTGATGGCAGATACTCCCTTCACCCTGGCCAAAAAGGCTAAAATGACCAAAGAAAAAGTGGAAAACAGCTTAAACATGAGAGGTTTTTGGACAAAGTTTGTGTTTTTTCCATTGTTTAAGCACTGCTTCCAGCCAAGAGTGATACCATATATGCCCCATAGCTGCAGAAAAGGCTAACATTGTTATCTTTTTACAAAAAACAGCTGAACATGAGAGGTTTTTGGACCAATTTTGTGTTCTCCATTCTTTAAGCACCGGTTTGAGCACCGGCACCGTTTCAAAAGTACCGATTTGGCACCAGTATCGGATAAAACCTAAACGATACCCATCCCTATGTAAGAATTTATTTAATATTACTTTCTACACCAGGATCTTTTTCTACCCAGCTGACGGCTGGTAACTGTGCAGGGGCGGATCTAGCAAAGTTTAGCCAGGGGGGTCGATAGGGCATGAACAGGGAAAAGGGGCACAAAGACATACTTTTCTTTCTTATTCTCAGATAAAATGTCGAGTTTTTAATAAATAATTATCTGAATCTTACACCCAAAGTTTTAATCTGATGTAAAATGTATAGAAGTCCATTACTGTATATAGTAACTGTTAAGTCTAATATACCCTAGTAAGCTTTACTACTTTTTCCTTTGGGAAGATGCCATCTGTGCAGTCTGCAGTTCTGTTGAAGAAAGATGTTGAATCTATTTAATTATTGTAGAAAAATTATTGATTTCTGTGCATTATGGGGTTTGTTTTTTCGTGTATTAAATTAAAGTTGATTACGTCAATTAAGCATCACGAGGTGGAGGGTGGGGGGTGTTTCCTTTTCTTTTTTTTTGCTGGGGAGTTGGCAACCCCATTAGGTAGGTTATTTAATATTTCCACTAAGTACTCTTTAACATACCAGAATAGGGAGGATGGAGCAGGTTTATTAGATTGATCAGTGTTGCTGAACTATGAAATATTTTGGGTGCAGTGTATTTTTTGCATACAGGTGTAACAGACTAGCTTTAGTTTTGCTTGTTTTTTGGGGGGGTTTTTTAAACTTGAGTATCAACTTATACAAAATGCAGCAAGATATTTTTTTAAAAACCGCTTTATTCAATATAAAACACACTATATCGGATTTATATCGGTATCGGCAGATATCCAAATTTATGATATCGGTATCTGACATAAAGTGGTATCTTGCCATCTCTAACGAAAACTATCGCCCTCTTGTTGTTTTGCTTACGTAGTAATGTCATTTCCCTAATGGGGTCATTAAAACTTCATCTAACAAAATAAGCATCAGAAAAAAAATGAATCACAGCAAACGATCCTGAAGTCCACCTTCCACAGCATCCACTCACAGCTCAAACACAGACCCCACTGTACACACTGTACAGAAAACAACAGAATACGGCTGCAGGGAAAAGGAGGTGGCATCTGTGTGCTTCACTTTTATAAGCTTCCTCTATGACTCCCGAGGGGATAGCCCTCTTAAAAGGAAGTGACTCTGCCATCCTCCTATCCTCCGCTTGCACTAGGGAGGGCCTATCCATTCTGGCTCCTTACTTATTTAAGAGCTTGTTATCCCCCTGGCTTTTAGAGCAGCAGCGGCAGGGAGCGAGAGAGTCAAGAGGCAGGGAAACACTGCCAGAGTAATCCCCATTTACAGTTTAAGAATAAACGCCAGTCGAGAGAAGAGGTCCCAGAAAAAGTCTTATCAGTCATCCAGCTCCCAAACCATTTTTCATCATTAGTCGGGTGGAGGCCGAGAGCTTAGAGAGCAGCCTGGAGAGTCGAGTTTATCACCCACACCCACCCGCAGCGTGGAGCCCAACTCTTTGTCCCGTTTCACTTCCCTCCATCTGTGACTCACAGCTGGAATCTAAACGGCGTGTTTAGAATTCATAACCAAGGATCTTTATGAGCCGCCCTGCTCTGTGACCATGTTTGGTTTGTGGAAAGCTTTTTGATTCCATTTTCCGCTCATTTACTTCGCTGTGTGTTTTTGGGCCTTTTCTGCTACGTTTCACAATGTGATTGCGTGCATATAAAGTGCACACATTCATTAAAACGTGCCCCTCTGTTTGCCAGGATACCTGCCCTTTTATCTCTGCGCTCAGCTTCCAATCTTCCTTCCTGTCAGCGTGCATCTGTCACATCTGCTTACCGCCACATCTTTTTCCCGTGTTTACTACTTCCTCATCTTTGTCTCCCAGGTTTTCAGTTCCTCTTCTGACAAGGAAACAGACAATTCAAAGACTGAGCTGTCTCTGAAGAGTGAGGCGCACAAAAACCCAGATGAGACAGATACCGACACAAAGGTCTCTGCATCTCTGTCTCCATCTTTTAATAATTACCTTGCTGTGCCTCGGTTCTCTCAGGAGACGCAGCATGTGGTTTTATAGAGCAGCAAAACCATCTCAGACGGTTGGTTTCTAATTCCCTTCTACTCTGTGGATGCCAAACACCTCCAACCACAGTGTCTGCTGTATATTCCCAGAAGGCCTGCATCACTAGCTAAACATTTATATATACAGGTTCATATATGTTCATATGTACAGGTGCAAAACTGTAAACTGATTGTAAAATCATTTTGAACCAAACAATTTCCAGGATGTAGTTTCCTGTTGGAAAATACAGGTTTGGTCTGAATCAGAGGACAGCAGAAGCTGAACAGTTTGATTTATCCTCGCGTGTTAAGCCTCTCCTTTTCCATGTTTCTGTGTCTCTTCAGTTCACCAGGAACTAAAATAGCCTGGTTTTCTATACAGAGAGAGAAAAAATGAGGATTGGGGACAAAAACACTAAAACAACAACAAAAAAGGAAGAACCGGACTTCCACTGCTTCTAAGTATCGTCTATAATGACGTGAGACAAAAGGCAGTTGGAAGTGACTTGAGTTAAATTTAAAAGAATATACCAAAGACCTATTGCTTTCAATCCCACACAGGCACACAGCACAGAACAGCTGTTTTACAGCTCTCTGATGAAACACTTTGGCTTTAATGAAACATCTTTACCTTCGTAAACTATTATTTCTTCTCTGCAGGTTGTAAAACTCCCAAAAACACTTTAATGAAACCCGATCTAGTTTTGTTGGGGTAATAACATTTTTTTACAAAGTGATGATTTGACCTTTTCACACATTGCTGCCCAGAGACAGCTAGCTTCCACATCTCCTACATTCCTACTAATAGCCACCAGGGGGCATGCCGGTCTTATTGGCTCTCTCCATCTTTTTATACAGCCTATGTTGCTGATCTGTTCTGCTATTATGTTTTAATATTTTTATTTCAATAGATCCTACTTATTAAGCTTCTCATTGAAACGTATTTAGATTTGATTTTTCTCCATCCATCCATCCATCCATCCATCTTCATCCGCTTTATCCGGGGCCGGGTCGCGCGGGCAGCAGCCTAAGCAAAGAGGCCCAGACCTCCCTCTCCCCAGCCACCTCCTCCAGCTTATCCGGGGGAATACCAAAACGTTCCCAGGCCAGCCGAGAGATATAATCTCTCCAGCGTGTCCTGGGTCTGCCCCGGGGCCTCCTTGTCAGATGCCCGAACCACCTCAGCTGGCTCCTTTCGATGTGGAGCAGCAGCTGCTCTACTCTGAGCCCCTCCCGGATGGCCGAACTTCTCACCCTATCTCTAAGGGAGAGGCCAGCCACCCTTCGGAGGAAGTTCATTTCTGCCGCTTGTATCCGCGATCTCGTTCTTTCGGTCACTACCCACAGCTCGTGGCCATAGGTGAGGGTAGGGACGTAGATCGACCGGTAAATTGAGAGCTTCGCTTTTACACTCAGCTCTCTCTTCACCACGACGGACCGGTGCAGCGTCTGCATTACTGCAGCCGCAGCCCCAATCCGTCTGTTGATCTCCGGCTCCCTTCTCCCATCACTCGCGAACAAGACCCCGAGATACTTGAACTCCTCCACTTGGGGCAGGAACTCATCCCCGACCCGGAGTGGGCACTCCACCCTTTTCCGGCTGAGAACCATGGCCTCAGATTTGGAGGTGCTGATCCTCATTCCCGCTGCTTCACACTCTGCTGCGAACCGTTCCAGTGCGAGCTGGAGGCCCTCACCCGATGAAGCCCGATTTGATTTTTCTATTTGAGCTTATTTTGTGATCCTGAATTTGTTTATTGACCATGCCTGGATTTTATGTTTTGGCTGCTTTAACATAAGAATTTCCTGATTCTTGGATGAATAAAAGCTTGTTTCTGACCTCACTGACCTTTAATTAAAATACATATTACCCAGGAAGTGGATAGAGAGCGAATAGATGCCCCCGGCTTGGTCTCGACACTCCAAATCCCAAATTCCTAATCTGCAAACAGCATAACTGCCACTCACCCACACAGTTGTCACAGAGGCTGCAATGGGAGGCACGCGGTGGTCTGAAGATCTTGCAGGTGAAGCAATACTTCAGTTTGACTGTCTGGCCATTGATGACCACCTCCTTAGTCCTGGGAGGGGGCCTGTAGCCGGTACCGCCATTAGCCACATCTTGGGGAAAATAAAGGAGAGAGACATAAAGATCAAAGAGAAAAGACACCTGATGTCAAAGCTCCCACATACGCTGCAGCATGCACGTGGCGTTATTGCTGTGGGCGTGTTATCACTACTGCACTGGTAGGGTGACACCAGATTCAAATACATTAAAAACAAGGAGAATACTTGTCACAGGATTACTACTGAAGTGCCAAAATTTAACTCGATATTAAGACAGAAAATCTAGTGCATGATGCATGTTATGAAAGGTGATCCTGTCCACTACTGAACTGATAAATCCATTGATAATCCTGGTCTTTACATTTAAAATGATCCAGTTTGCTTTTGAGTGCCTGAATATGAGTAACTATGGATGGAAATGGTTGTAATTCCTAAACAGTTAAAGCAACACTTGCTGAATCAAAGCTGAAAGTCTGCACTTCAATCACGTCTTGATCCTGTGTGGTTAACAGAGGCAAAACTACACACCGTGTGTCGCTGTTCAAATGCTAATGAACCTGACTGTAAAACTGCACCCAGGTCAGGCACTACTAAGTGGAATTAATACAACAATGCTCAGATTCCATTATGAAAAGAAAAAAGAAAACCGCTGCCAAGCTGCTCTGAATGGCTTCTGGTGGCGGAAGACAGTGGAGATGACAGGCTAAACGGTAAAGATGAGCGCGGTGGCGGTCGTGAAAAGGTATAGACTGGATCCCATTATTGCTCTGCTTGCTTTGAGCACTCTTACACATGCTGAGAGCAGGAGATTGTGTGAGTGGGAAGATAATTTTGTGATCATTTACACAGAAGCCTGTAGCATTGCCAACAGAGTGGTGTGTGTGTGTGTGTGTGTGTGTGTGTGTGTGTGTGTGTGTGTGTG